ACAACAAACCAACCCATTTCCCACAAATATTACTGTTTGACTTCTCACAAGATACATACAGATTTTTATTGTGTCTCTTCCTTCTGTGTTTCTCTTTTTTCCTAACTGAACTTTGTTCTTTATGCAAGCTCTCTTCCAATCCTGACATATTTTAAAACCTTTAGCATTTCTGCTTACAATATTTGGGTTTTCTTCTTTTCCTAGCTTTATTGAATGAGCCCCATACAAATATTTTCCCCATAATCACAATGTTTCCTTTTCACCTTGCTCAAGAACTGAGTTCTGAGCTCCAAATGAGGTCTCTAACAATTTACATTCACTCTACATTGGCTAAGTTTTAGTCATTTGCACTGCTAATAAAGAAGACAAACACGCTGAAGAAGACTTCCTCCCTTACAAAGGGGCTTGCACAGAAGGCAGTACTGGTCATGCTTCTGATTCTTGATCACAAGAATTGCTTTAGGCAATTACAATAATGTCTCCTCTGACACATATTATTATTCAAGTGAGACAGAGAAAGAATATGTCCTATGTCACACAGCTAGGTGGTGACAGCTGCCTTAGCATCAGCACACTGTGTTCCCTCTAATTTCTTCACTCATCTCTAGGTGGCAGTAAATCTGGTTCCGAATACTGACTTTGAGACTCAGCTTTCTCCACATCCTTCCTGTCACTTTCTTTGAGACTAATTCAGATTCTTTCCTTAGCTTCTGTTTCCCCTTTTGTAAAATTGGGATGATGAGGATCTCTTCTTGGGTAACTGTGACAATTAAAATGGGATCATCATACATCAGCCTTAGTCCCACGAGTGCCACAGTAAACTCTAAGTGAGGTTGTCATCATTACTGTAGATTTAAGATTATCCACCTATTCAGAAAACCCTAGTGACAGAGTCTCAGTTGCTTTTCTTTTTGCATGAATGATTACTTGCTGAATTCATCAAGCTCTTTAACATTTACCTTCCTTTATTGTGCTGGAACAATTTTAATGTCTTTTGTGACTTCTCTCTATGACTGCTTTGTTTGCTGAAAACTTATACAGGTCGAGTATCCTTTATCTGAAATGCTTGGGTCAGAAGTGTTTTCAGTTTCAACTGTTTTCAGATTTTGGAATATTTGCTTATATGTAATGAGATATCTTGGGGATGGGACCCATGTCTAAACACAAAATTCATTTCTGTTTCATACATACTTAGCCATATACACATAGCGTGAAGGTAATCTTATGTAATATTTTAAATAATTTATGCATGAAACAGTTTTGAACATTTTTTTGACTGTGACCCATCACATGAGGTACGGTGTGTGGAATTTTCCACTTGTGGCATCATGTCAGCACTCAAAACGTTTTGGATTTTGGAGAATTCCAGATTTCAGATGTTCAGATTAGGTGTGTTCAATCTGTATATATGGGTAAGATTCAGTTGTCTCCTTTAATCCTCTGCTGAAGGAAGCACTGAAGATTTTGGGGCAGTGACACTTTCAAAGCCATTGACTCAGCTTCTCACCTGGGCTTCCTTCCCGTGAGCCGCAGATAGCAGTCATAGATGATGGCAGGGGCCTGGTGGCTGACCGCATTCCAGTACTGGGATGTGAAGTTGTTGCTGGTAAAATTAGCATATGGTCTCCTGAAAGCTCTCTCTAATGGGATTTTTTCAAAGGTTGCCAAGACTTGGACTCCTGGGGAAAAAAGAAAGTAAGTGCTAGAGGAGAAGAGGAGAATATAAGTCCGTCATAGTGGAAAGCATTTGTAATGGGGTCAAAACAATAAAGACGAAGGATTTGTTGTGTAGAGTCAAGAATCAATTTCTGAGAACAATATAAAGATTTTTGTGCTGGGCAAGTGGTTATCTGCAAACTGAAACAGTGTGAATAGGTTAATAATTGGGTTCTTTATCTGAAACATTTACTGTAAAACAAATTATTGGGGAAACACTTGTCAATACAAGGAGATACTGTTCAGAAAAATGTGAATCTGCATTTAATTCTAAGGTTATCTAGTCTATTCTGAAAGCCCCACGACAGAGGCTAGAGACCTTATTTCCCTGGCTGGACCATTCCTTTCAGAACCATTTAGAAAGTTTCTTAACATTTTATTTCACTCTTTAGTAAAGGTTTAAGTAAAAGATTCTAAAGATTTTCAAGGCAAGATTTCTTTGTGTTAGTTTACTTCAAATGCTTCCCTGGGAATATGTTAGACTCAATTGTCCACTCTGGTATCCAGGGTTTTATTCATAATAGTATTTTTCTTTTTATATGATTACTTAGATTAAGCTTAAGAACTTTTTATGTACATTTGTGAATTCAGTAGTTCTTTCCAAAAGATATTCATTTGAATTCAATTTTATTTAATGTATGTAGGTTTTTTTTCAAAGCGTATGCCTAAGCTCATTATTCAATTATGATGACATCAGTTATTATGGTAATATGACTGTTGCCCTCCTTAAAAAAATACCAGCTGAAATCTATCTGAAAATATAAATCCTATACAAAGAAGAGTCTCCAGAATCAATTGGTTCATAGGCATTTGTTAAAACATATGTGGCATTATTAAAACATTTGGTTCTGTGCATAACCGAAAGTTATGCACAAGTTGATAGCATAAGAGATTCTGATCTCAACACTGACATTCTGATGTATATATCCATATACCTGGTCAACATTTCCATCTGGATGTGTAATAGACATTCACATCTAACAGCTCTAAAATTGGCCTCCTGATACTCCGACTACCAACCACCCCCTTCCCAATACATACACAAACTTGCTTCTTCACTAATCTACTTCTAACCAAATGGTAATTCAATTTGTTTAGTAGTTCAGCCAAAAACTTTGGGGTCATCCTTGATTCTTTAACAACCCACACACAATTTAACAAAATCTATCAGCTCTCTGTTTGAAAAATACCCAGAATCATAATTTCCACCTGCTGTGTCTCTGATCCAAACCACTACTGTAGCCAGGAGTCTTGCAGTACTGTCCTAAGTGGTCTCTGCCACTACCCTTGTACTCCTACAGTCTGACCTCCATGGCGCAGCCAGAGTGATTCTTGTAAAATGTAACTCAAAGTATATTACAGATAGTTCTCTAGTTCTCCATTCAGAGCCCTTCAGTGGAATCTCATCTCATTTAGAGTCACAGCCATGGTATGGAAGGCCTTGCACTCTCTGCATCTTCACTCTCTCTGCCCACCACTCTGACTTTATCTCCTACCATTCTCCCTCTCAGTGCTTCTGCTGCAGCCATACTGGCCTGCTTGCTGTCCTTGAATATGATTAAAGAGCTGGAGCACTTATTGGTTCTTCAACTTGGGTATTTCCTCCACATGTCCCTCCGATTTGCCCCCTCACTTCTTTCAGGTCTCTGCTAAGATGACACGTTATCAGACAGACTTTCCTTGGCCATCACATGTAAAACAGCAGCCTTCACACATCACTATTTACTTCTTTAGTCGGTTTTATTTTTCTGCCATCTCTCAACCATATCTGATGTATATTTCTCTTTTCTAAGATTTAAGTACCATAACAAAATTTTGTCTATTTTGTTTCAACCTATATAGTACCTTGAAAGTGGTTGGCAGGTAATCGGTGCCCAATAAATATTTTTTGACTAAATGAATGAATAAATATCTCAGCAACATACAATTACTTTCCATTTCCTAAATCTATACCAATCCTTCCTTTAGTCATTTCAAATATATTTATTTAGCATTTAACACTTGCCAGGCATTGTGGTAGGTGCTGAGGTAAAAAAATAATAATAATACTTATGATATATTCCCTGTCTTTAAGGAATTGGCAATCTAGTGGGAGATGTAGACAATTTACGATTACAATATTTTGCCTGAGTATTCTGCTAGAGATCAGTACAATATGCTCTGGAGGAAGACAAAAGAAGCCTCTAGCTCTGTCTGTGTGCCAGGAAGGGGAGGGATGAGGCTGGGTTAGGAATGGCTTTCTGAGAAAGCTGTCCAAATGGTAATAGCAAGCATTTACTGAAATGTTCACCGTTCTAATCACTGTGGTAAGCACTTTATCGCATTAAATCCTCCCAAGAGCTCCCTGGAATAGAATGATTATTATTCTCATTGACAGATTAAAAAAAAAAAAAAATCTATGAGGAGAAACTGAGTGACTTTTTCAAGTTCACACAACTAGTAAGTAGCGGAGTCTACTAAATGGTAGGCACCATACCAGCATATAACATCTATGTGGGCATGGATTTCTGTTTAGTGATATATCCTTAGCCCAAGAATAGTGCCTGTTTAATGAATACTGGAATGAATGAATGAGCTATGATTTGAATCCAAGAATATTAGATCTTAAAGCCCAAGACTTTTGACCATTAAGCTACTGTCTTTCTGATCTGAAGTACAAGTAGAAACTCATGCACATGTAGAAAGTTTAATTTGGTAATTGAAAACTGCACTTCTGCATCCTCATAGGTCAAAGAAGAATTTAAATGAAAAATGCTTAATGCTTAGAGAGTAATGATAACATCAACATCATACAACTACATGTGTGGGATACAGCCAAAGTGGCATTTGAGCGAAATATAAAGCCATAAATGCATGTATTAGAAAAGCTGAATATTCGTGAGCTGTATTTCTAAATTAAAGAGAAGAGGCCGGGCGCGGTGGCTCACGCCTGTAATCCCAGCACTTTGGGAGGCCGAGGTGGGCATATCACGAGGTCAGATCAAGACCATCCTGGTTAACACGGTGAAACCCCATCTCTACTAAAAAATACAAAAAAAAAAAAAAACTAGCCGGGCGTGGTGGCGGGCGCCTGTAGTCCCAGCTACTCGCGAGGCTGAGGCAGGAGAATGGCGTAAACCCGGGAGGCGGAGCTTGCAGTGAGCCGAGATCGCGCCACTGCACTCCAGCCTGGGCGACAGAGCGAGACTCCGTCTCAAAAAAAAAAGAAGAAAGAAATAATGAAAGAAAACAGGAGGAAGGGGAAAACAGAGATAAGGCAATATATCAATATGTATCAATGCAGTAGAAAACGAAGCAACATAATAAAGAATCAATAAAGCCAGAAGAAGTTGGTTCTTTGAAAAAAAGAAATAATAAACCCTTTGGAGAAGACACATAAATATTATGAATTAAAAGAGAAACATAATTACAGATACAGTTTAGGACAAAAAAATTGATATAATATGAAAAATTTTATGTGAATACGTTTTAAAATAGACAAATTCTTAGAAAAAGAGACAAATATAATTTACTAAAACTGATTCCAGTAGAAACTGAAAGCCTGCAAAATTCTTTAACTATTGAGGCAATAAAAAGTTCTCTCACAACAAAATTACAAATCCAGATAATTTATAGGTAATTTTACCAAGTTTCCAAGGAATAGATTGCTCCAATATTTACACAAACACTTTCAGAGAACAGAAAACAACAAGGGAAATGTATTATCAGCAAACTGAATTAAACAGAATATATAAAAGATAACATGCTATGACCCACTTGGGTTTATCCTAAAAATGGCAGGAGAGTTTAATATTTGAAGTCTTCTGCTTAAAATTAGCAGCAAGACAACAATAACAAGCCATGAATGCATGTATTAGACAAGAAGATGGTGGTAAATTAAAAAGTTATGTACAGGTTGATAGCATAAGAGATTCTGATATCCCATGTTCACCGACCCAGCTGTCTATCACTCCTTGTAATGTCACCTGAGGCTATGTATGTTGAACCTCCTGTGGCATGGCTACTTCTCCTAGTAGGAAGCATTTTGATCACTCCTAAGAACCCTTATAGGAAACACAAACGAATTTAATTTGAATGCAACATCAAATTAATTAGTAATAGCTTTCAAAAATGCTGTATTAGATGGGAATCTAGAATAGAGCCTTGGCACAGGGAGAAACAATGTTGTATCAGCCAACAATGTTTGCTATAGGTTTAAGAGGAGTAGAGAAAAATACATGCATGCCAGGTATTTTTCATTCCTGGGAAAGCATTTTTCAATTCAAAGCCTATTATAAAATGAGCCACAGTGTCTAGCTGCCCTACAATAGAACTCTCAGTGCAGCACTATGGCTTACCACTGGAATGTGTAGAGGTAGTGTTACCTACGTAACAGGGAAAGAAAGTGTGCATTAGTAGGCACTAAGAAATCCTACAGAATAGCCAAACTCCCTACTTTAACTTTCTACCATCATTAGATGTCTAAGTTGTACTCAACTCTATTTCCATGGTTTTATACATTGAACAGATCCAGTCCTTTACATTCAGACAAGTCAATCATTTGTATAGTACAGGGTTTATCCGTTTCACCAAGCATGAAGAATCATCTAGATGCTTATTAAAAATATAGTTTCCTCAGGACCACCCAAGACCGTGGTCCCAAGGGTTCAAGGAATCTGGGTGGTGTTTTTATTTCTCCCATAGTGATTCCCATTCACTTTTACAAATCGCTAGTAGAGTGGTTATTGCACACCTGAGAGGCAACCTGCATAAATTAATGATCAGTATGATGGCTCAATAACAAAGAAATAACATCACCTGACTTTTCTAAATCTCATTGGTCATTGATCACGTCGCATTCTCAGTGACATATCAAGAAGGGAAGGGGTGTGTGTAGGAGCCACTGCTCCAGCAGGGAGGAGTATTTCAGCATTTTATCACTGAGATTCTTTATAACTGCCAACTTTTGCTTTGTTTCATCGTTTTAAAAATCTTTATAGCCAGTGGACCCCTTACTGCTTACAATCATGCACACCTTGCCACTGACTCCTTTCTTTGGTAACCACAGTACATTCTAGTTAACTACCACACATTTACAATATCTCATTATTTTGTGTCTTTACTTACTTTTTGTCTTTCTCCCCGTATAAGCTCTAAGCTCCATGACACACTTTGTCAATTTTTTCTCTATGCCAGATGCTAGTAATTATAGACTTACATGGCTAAAGCACGTACCCATTTTGTGCCAATTGCAGGGATTGAGGTTACCAGATGTACTGTGGTAGACTAATGTTGACTTAGGTCTGGAAAATGAAATAAAAATTAGATAAGTACAACAAAATGGAAAGCTAATGAAAGAAAAAATAAGGAAAAATAATATTTAGACAGATTGGTTTCAGTAACTCATCTGATTAAGGCAACCTATGAAAGGCTCCATCATTCATTCTTTCTCTGGGTTAACAAGCAAAATGGAAGACGACTAGGAAAAGCATGTGTGTGTGTGTGTGTGTGTGTGTGTGTGTGTGAAAGAGATGTTAAATAGGAGTGACATTATGGAGCACATATGTGTGAATTCACATAAGAAAAATTTAATTCTGTTTACCATTCACTAACAGACCCAAATATATGAATAACCTATTTCTTTTCCTTTGTACCAGGAAGCTTCCCCACACACTGTGACTGAACTTTTGGCATTTACCAGAGTTCAATTAAAAAATATATTCTCTCATTTCATCAATTTCTATCTCCTTTGCCCTAAAAGAGAAAGCTGAATTTTAGACTACTGAATCGAAAGAAAAGCCTTTTGGTTATCAAGAATTTTACAGTTAAGTGATTTAAAGGTTTTATTACTTTATGAGTAGCCAAGTACTAAACTGTATTTATAAAACAACGAAATGCATATATGATGGCATATTAGGAACTCCATAAAATATTGAAATACACACTTTCACACATTTGGGGTCTTGTACAATGAAATGTCTGTATTTGGAAAATGGGCCTAATATATTCACTCTGCCCCTCTTGAAACCTTTGAAAGCCCAGTTGAGCATCCACACCTGTGAACTGCAGTATACCATCCTACAGCTAGCATGAGATTGACGACTGTATCAACTGGAATTAAGTCTGCCACTGCCTTTGGAGCAGCTTTTAAGGCCCGAAGAAACCCTTTCCCAGCCTGCACAGGAAAAAGAACATAAAATGTTAATCCAGGTCTTAAATAATAGCTGGGGCTAAAGTATGTATCATCAAACTGATTATACTAGTGCAGTACGTGAAAACAGCTAACATTGATCCACTGCTTACCAGGTTCTTATGCTAAGTCTGACTTCCTCAGTCTATCCTACCTTCCCAGCCAAGCGCATCTCCAGCATTTCCATGAACTACTAGTGTTCCTCACGTTCCTTTAGGGAATAAAATTCCTCGAATTTGTGAGAGGTTAATAAACTAAATTAACAAACACCAAGAATAAACTTTTACATCTTAAAAATTCATAAAACATGTTAAGAATTAAGGTTATACAAATTTCCCATTAACTTTCCCATTAATATTTGTTTACCATTTCCTTGATGATTTTGTTTTCTGCTAGGGTTTATTAGCTTACAAGCAATAGTAGGCACTAAACGTTTAAGAAACATTTATTTGAAAAACATTAATTGGTGAAATTCCACCATTAATAAAACAAAACTTTTTTTTTGGCTTGGAAAAATTGCCTTATTATTTACTTTTTATTCGGCATCTTAGTTCACCTCACAGATCACTGATGTTACATAGATGCAAGAATTAGAAATTATTCATGTCAATAATTTGTTGAGTTTATGAAATTGATTCTTTGTGCTTTGCATGTTTCCAACATTGATTTGCAATGATTAGCACTTTCTTATGTTACTCAGTTCTGTTGTCTTATAACTAGCTCCCCTTCTTTCGAACATAAGAAACCAATTTAGAACATTCTAGAAAATGTAAATAAATATGCAACTTTGCATATAATGAAACCCGCTTTGGGATCATGTTAAAATAATGATGTTCTAAGTCACTAAACGTTCACCCCAACTGAACTTTTGTAGAAGAAAGAGTTGAAGGCAGATGGGAAACAGAAAGAAAAGGGCTGCTTGAAAAATCAGACATCGGAAGGAAGATCTTTGTCACTGTTACAATTCACTGTCTCATATTCATATTGCAATTCATGTTGAACCTAGTTCTGGGAGGAACAGAGACAGAGTCTGAAGCGCAGTCTAAATCCCTAATAAGATTTAAACGCATTTAGATCACTGATTTCCTATTCATTGTACAAAACAGTGAAGTGGGGTTTAGACCCTAAATGCTTCAGTGTGAGCTGTGCAGTCCCACAGCTTGGCTGGATCAATCTGGACTTCGGGGAGATGCGCACTGAGGGCTGCTTACCTAGAGGAGCCACGTTTCTCCTGGTAAGAGATTATTGAAAAGGTGTTGCCTGTATTCATGGAATTTTGTATTTGAAAAATTTGCTGCAATTGGTAGTTCTCTTTCTTGTATTCATTAAGAATTATTGATGTATATCTCTTTTCTATACACACACATAAACTCTTACATGTGTTTTATAATCAAGAATTTAATAATCTTTGAAGATATTTTTACTGCATCCTCAATTCACTGCACTAATTCATGTGATTATAAACGGCAAAAAGGAGGAAATACCCCCATCTTGTGGTAACTAAAGAAAAGTCCTGATGCTCAAAGACTTCAAAAATAAAACTCCTAAATAGTAACTGATAGCACATTACCTCTGTTTTTCTGATAAAAAATTCTCAAAGAATAAAATAATTTCATCCTGCCTCTATATTACAATTAGAACAATTAAAATAATGTGCCTCAATTGTTAGTAAAGTAGCATTTATATTTTTGGATCAATGAAGCTAAGTCAGCACTAAGAATTTTGTTACTCTTCCTCTACTACATTTCAGGGAGTTATTTCTTCATTGTTATACATACCGCAATAATTAGTCCATTAGGTCCATTTATATTATCAACCCAACCCTAAAAGAAAGAAGATTTCTGTTGGTTACACATTTCAGAAAATTGTTTTATCTTTGGAACATCTGCAGTCTAATCTTAATAAATTTCAAACAAGAGCACTGAGATCCCAGCCAATAGAACTATCTAATTCAGTATTATTTAGATCTCAAAAGATAAAGGCAAATCACTGGCCATTTTCTGTACTTTATTTGACTGTGCAGAAATTAGAATTTTGCCAGGATTGTTTTTCTTAGCAGGAGCCATGAATGGTTTTCTGGTGTTTTATGACCTCTTATGGACCTTGTCCTTATATCATGATCTGCTAAGCAATTCACCAACCATCCTTCTCCACCTTAGTCCTGATTTCAGCCTCCTTAGGAGAACATTGAAAACATGATTTGTGTTAATGGCCCATTTCTTGACATTTTTTACCAGCTATAGAGTCCATGACAGATATATATACGTGTGTGTGTGTGTGTGTGTGTGTGTTTCTGTATGTGTATTGACTTGCTTAAAGATGTTACAGAGAAGATTATGTTTAAGAGCAGCTAGAGGGAAATGTGTTTTTAAGTTTGTTTCTTAAGACCTAAGCCATTCAGCTGACCTTATTATGTCTCTTTACATTACAGTGTAAAAGTCAAATGTGTGTGTATAATGGGAGAGGAGAGAGAAGAGAGGAGAAGATGAAAGGATTAATATTTGTTGAGCCTTTTAGTAGGGACCAGGCTTTTACTTGAGACTGAGCACTCCTCATACATTGTCTCATTAAACCAACTCTCCAAAGTAGTATCTGTCCTGTTTTATGGAAGGGACAACTCAAAAACATTGCATTACCAGTAAGTAGTGGTGCTGGAATTTATCCCAAAGCTTCACAGATTTGCTTTGAAGAAGATGATGTAATTCAAAGTACTTTCAAAAGGTCATGGCAGTATGCTGAGGTTTAAAAAAATTAGTATTCCTAAACTGAGATCCTTCTGTGAGCTTTGTAACTCTTGTTTACCCTGGCAGTTATAATACTACCAATTTGGCCACCAAGGACATTCTGGTATGCTTAAACTATAGTAAGAAAGCCAAGATATGAAACCATCACCCATGGGAATTTTGAGACTAGAGTAATTAGAAGCTAATTTAAGCTCTCCATCCAACTCTAGGACAGTCAAGGTAACTGCCAGAGGAGCCACATGCTGGAAACCAAAGTGGAATTTTGCCCTAGTTCATATTCGATCGGCTGCACTTAGCTATAAATCCTGAAGAGGAGAAGAAGAAAGACATCAGAAAGTAATTGGGCTAGAAGAACCTTAGTTTGGAAGCAAAACACAGAATCCAGGTGAGTGGGCTTACTGGGAAAGGCTCCTGCCAAGTTGCTCCCACAATGGAGGGCCTTATGATGGCAATGTTCAGGTTCCTGCTCTCTTGCTGCACCACCATTTCTCCCAAGGCCTTGGTGTAGGTGTAAATATTGGGCCAATCTCTGATCAGCTTGGGTGCAATCTCTTCAATAATAGCATCGTCTAACCACCTAAAAGGTAGTCAGAATAAAGAGAATTCTAGTAACATATGTTAGACAATAAACCAAAAGGAAAATGTGAGACACAATCAAACAAAACTTCCACCTTTTGGCCTCGGTTCTGGAATTCAGAACAGTCACATGATACCAAGGTTGAGTGTGTACCTGTTCAAAGCATGCACAAGCCCTTTGCTCTCCACTGCTACTAAGCCCAATCTTATCCTATGCCCTCCCATCCAAACAGATAGGTAGGTAGGTAGGTAGGCAGGCAGGCAGGTAGGTAGATAGACTGATAGAATCAATAGCAATACTACTTTATTACGAATAATAGTATAGGGCTATTAGTACTACTTTATTAGTACTACTTTAGCTCTACTGCTACTTTATCAGTATTGATTACTACTTTATTGTAGTAGTACTAAAATAGAGGTTTAGTAGTACTATATTAGAGGTTATTTTTACTTCCTCTCCAGCAAGCTCATAAGTACATTCATTGAACACATATTTGAGTCCCAGTCATTCTCCCAGTAGTGTGCTGAATGCTGTGTTCAGGGCGTTAGAGGCTCTCATCCAAGGTGCTTCAGTGGCAGCCCTACTCAGTGTTGTCCGATAAAAATCCGATGTAGTAATCCTGAAGCCTTTAGCTTTAAATTTTAAAAATTTCACTGAATGCAAATCAAATCAAAGCGACTACTTTTGGCAGACTTACAATCTGTTTTAGCAAACCTATGTAATGCATTTTTGAAGATCTGTTTAAAGTCTATGCTAATAACTTGATAATTATCTCCAGAGATTTCCAGTAAATTCTGAAGTCTGTCAAGTGGGGTGATTATAGTGCTCTGAAATAGCTTCAAAATCACGATTATTGACTACTCCTATTTACAAGATAATGTGTATCATGAATAACAAAGTTACATAGCATCAGCCTAATCTTTCTTAAAAATATGTCAGAACCACTTGATAACCCCAAAGTCTATCTACACCTCTCTAAGAAAGCAACAAAATATTGTCAATTATATATGTAACATTCTTCTAGTTAACAGATCTATGTGGTTAAATTATTAATATAACATAGCTTTTTAAAAATTAAGCTGCCGAAATATGCTAGTGTGATTTTTCTAATCAATGTGGTACATCTATTTCCACAGAACTATACTATTTTGATTGTAGAAAATCTTCAGTTACCACTTGGCTGACATGACAAATTTTTGAGCAACTAAGATGTACATGATGTTAAGACGTATTCAGAATCACAACTTTCAATTTTAATGCCTCATTTGATCCTGATTTAGAACATCGGCATTGACTATAATGTTTCCATTTTTCTTGCTTTGCTTCTATTAGTGCTGAGTGTGTTCTGGATACTCAAATATCTTTTCATTTAAATTGAATAGAGAAAGATTGAGGGGTTCTAGAACTAAAAACAACTTCCACTACATAGAAATATCTAGGGTATTTTAATTATATGGTCACCTGGGGGCTGGGAAAGAATACAGGATGATGCGGACACCTCTCCATCTTAACAATAATCCTACCACTATCTCATTTCATACAGTGGGTTGACTGACCTGAGACCATTTTCTCTCACCTGCAAAAATATGCAGTTTAAGAAAACCAGGTCTTGAGGGAATAGAGCTTAATTTCAATAAGGCTATGAAGAAAAAAATCCTAGAAAACATCAGAGCCCAACAATGTGCTGGGAATGTATGTCACATGGCCAGTACCAGTTGCTGTAATTAATGCTGGGGTACATGGAAAGGATAATACTTGGGGGATAGGGGCCTTATAAAGCTTGGTGAGTTTGCTTGTCTTAGAAAATTTTGGTTTTGTAGATTTCTGACAGCACACATGCAAGAAATTTTAATATTCTATAGATGACTTGCCTCTGCTACTCTCAGCTACACCTGTACTCCACTGTTTTATCTTCTCATTCCAATTGTACTTGTGAAAATGGCAATAATTATACTCATTCTAAATTCTCATGAGGATAAACAAGAATATAAATTATCTCGTTCCAACTGTACTTGTGAAAATGGCAATAATTATATTCATTCTAAATTATCATGAGGGTAAACAGGAATATTCAAAACTGCATTTAAGCTCTTTGATAAAACAAAATGAGCCAATAAACCTAAGGCATTGTTATTTTTTAATAAAACAACCAGTGAGCATACATCGTTGTCGGTAATAGTTTTAAAATGTCATTTCTGGCCCAGTGCGGTGACTCAAACCTGTAATCCCAGCACTTTGGGAGGCCGAGGAAGAAGGATCATTTGAGTCCAGAAGTTTGAGACCAGCCTGGGCAACATAATGACACCCGGCCTCTACAAAAAAGTTTTAAAAAATTAGCGGGGCATGATGGCGTCCACCTGTAGTTCCAGCTACTCAGGAGGCTGAGGGAAGAGGATTGCTTGAGCTTGGGAGTTGGAGGCTCCAATGAGCCATAATTGTGCCACCATACTCCAGCCTGGGTGACAGAGACCCTGTCTGAAAATAAATAAATAAATACAACAAATAAAAATAAAATATCATTTATAATACATCTAGACCATCTGCAGCTCGTCCACCCACTTCCTAGGTTCAGAGGAGATGAGTGTAATAAACATGCACATCCACTGGTTGGGCCAAGCCATTCTTAGGACTTAAACAGTCAATTCAGGGTTGCTGCTGTTGTTTGTTCTCAATTTGTTTTTAAAACAGTAAATAAGTTAGCATAGATAAAAAAACACTACATAAACCAAAATGCATGTCTGAAATTAATCTAAATGTCCTCCAGTATACTCAAGAAGATGTTTTGAACCCAGGGGTCTCAAATTCTAACCTTGAATTGCTTCAGAAGAAACATAAAGTCATTTAAAATTTCAGAAAGCAGTATGTATATGTCTATGTGTGTTCACATATACACACATACACAATTTCTTCTAAAGATTGCTATCAATTTTGGATTCAAACTTATTGAAGCAACATGATTATATCATTAATAGTTTAATTATTTATGTATTTACTGAATGAAATACCAAGAGGCATATGTATTTCCCCTCCCTGATCCCCTCAATTTTCTTATGCAAGAAGTGGGCAAGCCTAGTAGTTTATCAGGAAATCCGTTAGAGAGTAACTAGTGGACACACTGCCTTATGATAACGTTTGCTCTCTCTTTCTCCAGGCTAGATTATGTCATTCTCTTGATTGTTGTAGTTATCAAGTTGTATTTGCTTATGTGTTTTACTCCCCACTGGACAGTGAGTCCAGAAGAGCAGGGATGATAATTTTTATCGCAGGTCTAATCACCTTTCTGCCCCCAGGAGCCAGCTGCCTTATTCAGTAAATGGATGCTCTTCCGCATGATAATCTTGATGGGCCAATTTCTGTACTATATGAAGTTTTGGGAAGCAGAGATAGACAATGATAAGGGAGAGTAGATGAACTCAAAAGAAGACAAGGTTGTAGAGAGAATGTGGGAAAGGAAGGAAGGGGATATCTTTGTAGAGCAGGAAACAAAATTGGAAGTAAAGTGTCCAGTGGCAGTGGTGAAAAGTGTTGACCAACCTTAGTTTGGTGAAGGTGGCTTCAAGGTCAACTTAAACTTTCCAGTGGGAAGCAGGGTATTTCTGAGCATAATGCTTATGGAGAATTGGCCTCTTTATTTCCCTCAAGACTTTTACAGAGCACCTAGCCTGGCTCAAACATGAGCCAGATGCTGAATGCCCTGACAATGGCCTGCCATTGTGAAAATTACTCAGTTTGGTTAAGAAACAATTTAATCTCATTCTGGTTTGTAATTTAAAGCCTGCTAATATAAAAGTACACAGAATTTTCATTTTTATTTAGCTACTTAAATATTCTGAAGCTGTGCCGTCCTGAAATTAAAAGCACAAGTGCTAGAATCAGCTTTCACCATTCCCCTAGAAGAGATCAGCTTTTTTAGTGTTAACAACGTGTTCTATAGCACGAAGGCAAAAAAGACTACTTTCCAACATCTGACCTCCTTTCATATCTCCCAGAGGGCTGTGATAAGGGCCACTGCTGCTGGCTGTGGGGGCCTCCATTCCCCTGCCTCTCACACCTGCACCCTCAGTGCACATGCCGCCTCTCCTTTTTTACATGGCAGATTAGCTGTGTCTTCTGGTGACCGTGTAGCCTCAGAAGTGTGGTTTTTAGTGGGTGCAGATCTACTAGGAACTTTCAATTAAAGCTTCTAAGAACTGAAAGACAACAGGAGGTGAGGAGAGCAGGAGAAAGAGGGAGCATAGAGATAAAGAAGATAAATGGTCCTAATTTCAAATGAAGACTGCTCAGTGAAAAAGTTCCTTAAGGCCCTCTTTCCCAAACTTGCCTGCTCATAAATATGAATTACACAGGGCCCCTGGGAAAAATCCAGATTCCTGGGTGCCATTTGAGAATCACTAAATACATCTGCAGAGTTAAGAGTCTGATAATCTGTATTTTCAACATGCCCTGGAAATTCCAACAGTCAGGCAAATCAGGGAATCACTAATTTAAAAGAAGTCCACTCCATAAACTGAAGTCATTGAGATTTGAATATATCAGGATTAGCTCTCAAACACGCATTGCTTCTTGGAGTAAAATTTCAACAGAATTGAATTTTAAAAGAATTAAATCCCTGGTACGAGAAATGCAAAACATGACAAGTATGCATGTTCTAATTGGAGTTAATTTGATAGGTGCAACCCCATATGCAAAGCAGTAGCCATGTCCTATTGTTTTTTTATTTCCCAAAACATGGAGGTGTTTTTTATATCTGTTGCCATGCCCTGGTTCTTGTCTTCCATACCACTCCTCTCTGGTAATGAGTCTTGCTTCCTCTGTCTACTCCCTATGCTAATCCACTGCCTCCCCCCACCTTTGGCCATATTAATATTCCTGAAGCCCACTTTCATTGGCACTTTTCCATGATGAAAACAAATGAACAAACAACCCAGAATTATACACAAAAATGCATGCACACACATGGCCCTCCTTCAATAGATCTCCACTGCCTAGAGAATTAAATA